GAACAGATAGAGGAGGGAGAGTGAGAGGGAGAGGGAAAGAAAGGAGGGGTGAGGCATATTTGGAACATTCTCAAGACAGAGAGTGTTTTCTAACAGTCATCGTCTAGTTCGTTAACGAAATTAACGCTAGAACCAGAGGACGGTAATATCTACATAATGTATCATGGCACATCCAGGGAGAATGCTGAAAAAGTCAAAGTCTCTGGCTTCAAGCAGTCTCCTGAAAACGCATGTTTGGACGTGGTGTCTACCTCAGCCGAGATCTAGAGAAGGCTTCCAGATATCCTCTGGTCTGGATCTACCTGAGAACCAGAGATTGGTTCTGAGAGCAAAGGTCAATGTTGGGAGAGTGAAGAAGATTGACCTCAACTTCATCCAATGCAGAAAACCTGGCATGATCAGGGGTACGACACTGCATGGTGTCCTCCAAAATGTGGCATGGTGCCAAGTGGTCTTGAAGAAGATTGTGTTTGGGATCCAAAACGTATCACAGTCATTGATTTAATTTATCCAGTGAAGGAGGAGCAAAGTGCTTGTAGAATCCTCTGAAGATGTTGAACAGGTTAAACCAGTAAAACTCTTTGAAACATACATTTTTTATGGTTTCAGTGTTTTATCCCAGTACGCAATAGTGTGTTGAATAAGTGTGCATTCAGGATCAAAACACATATTTGTACATTCAAATTTGTGCATTATACAATGAAGTTTACTTGGTTACTATTAAAAGTTGAAGTGTACTTGGAATAAACCAGCAAAAACGAGAGATTTATTCTGTAACTCTTTATTTTGAAATGAAGAAATCATCATGTGCTCTGAGACCCAAAAGCGGTGTCCGATTCATGAACAAACTGATTATTTTCAATGAACCTGATAAATCGGTTCGCAAATCGCACTAAACGATTAATTTGATTATATTATATTCATTATATATATATATATATATGTAGTAATTTCAAGCTCAAAAGGGGAAATATTTATGACGAATTATAACTGGTTATGATTCATAATAAATATTTAGATTAGATCTTTGAATTAACTGTAGCAGAATCAATATTACCATTACTTGATCTGTCCGTCCACCGAGCAGACAAAATAATCATTTATCAATCAGATATATTTGTAGAGTATAATAGAGTAACGGTCTTTATGTGTGTGTGTGTTTGTGTGTGTGTGTTAGTTTGCTTGGTCAGCCGGCCTGGCCTGTTGTGCCTGGCCCCGGGGGTCATTTACGTCTCTTTGGAATGTGTTTGAAACCCCACATGAAGGTGCGAGTGGTGAAACTGTTTAGCATCTCTTTGAGAGTGGGGGGGAACCATTTGACATTTAGTACCCATATAAGTGTGACGTCTGGGACCAGGACTGTAATTTATATGCAAATGTCAAAAGCTAAAAGGGTCTTCTTAAACCATAAAACCCAAAGATCATGCGTGATTCTATGCAGACGCTACATATATATATATATACATATATATAACTTATAAATAAATAAGGAGTTGCATTTATTAATGCAGAGATGAATTTGCCATGAAATCCTTTATTCTTAAAAATAATAAAAAACCAGTGCATCCACAATTTTTTTAATAATAATAACCACACTGCACATTTGCCATAAATTATATCAATGATCTAAATCCAACGTGGATCCAAAACACAGTCTTCCTCAAGGCCACTTGACACCATTTCACAGTTTGGAAGGCACCAGGAAGTATTGTACATGTGATCATGCCAGGTTTTCTGCATTGGATGACCTTGGTAGTTGATTTTTTAAACTTTTCCTACACTGACCTTCACAACATTGACCTGCACTCTAGTAACAACCCTTTCATGCTTATACAAGTGATTAGGGTATCTGCTGGCCTTGTTGAGATCCCAGCTGAGGTAGATGCCACATCCCAGCATGCCATCTAGAGTTCGTCGAAAGCTGAAGTCTCCTGTTTTACTTGAAGGGATAGTTCTCTGAACTTTTCTGATTTGTTACTTTTGCATGAATATAAAATATATTATTTATTGTAACTTTTATGTACAAAAAGTTATATGTACATATTTATTGTATCAATTATTTCAATAAAACACCGTCTGTTTTGTCCCTTCTTTAGTCATTTTATAATCAATGACATGGGTTCATACTTTATAATTAGGAACTTAATGATAACCGGCACATCTAAAAACCTTTGAACTCCCACTTAAGTGCATCTGATAAAGCTGACACACTCTTTACAGGAATGCTGTGGGCTGGCAGAGAAATGAAACTTATTTTAAGTTGTGCCTCCAATACAAGAACTTTCGATATATTTTAATTTACTCATACGACACATAAATGTTAGTGCTTACATAGAATAAAATTGCTGTGTCAAATTAAGTGTAAATATGTAATCAGAGAAACAACAAAAACTACAGTACACTTTACTCACTCTTGCTGCTTCAGGTGATTGCAATTTTTCTTTATGGCCTCATAAAACCTTTACTGCTGTGTCATAGGCTTCAGCTCATTGGTTAAAGGTGTGTCCAAGATTAGACTGAATCAGACTGAATTTGTCATCGCAGAAGTAAGTAACATATATGACTATTTGTGATTATTTAAACAAATGTTCATATTCTACCAAATGTACAGACTACCAAATATACAGTATTCCTTTGCACTGACTTCCCTCCCTATTTCTGCTGCTCTATAACCAAACTTGAACATGAAAACTGTTTGTAGATTTGTTATTTTTTGTCTTTAGGTTTAAACATGTGGGCAGAGAGTGACTTGTATCCAGGTGTGCCGTGTCTTCAAAGCGCTACAGAGCCTGTGGATGGTAATGTATACCGAATGTATCACGGCACCACTGAAAGAGCAGCACAACAGATCAAAATCTCTGGCTTTCAGCCATCTGCAGGTGGCATGCTGGGACGTGGCGTCTACCTCAGCCGAGATCTTAACAAGGCCAGCAGATACCCAATTGAAAAGCCATGTGAGAGAGTTGTTATCAGAGTGAAGGTCAATGTTGGGAGAGTGAAGAAGATTGACTATCAACATCATCCACTGCAGAAATCCTGGCATGGTAAAGGGTACGACACTGCCTGGTGCCCTCCAAACTGTGGCATGGTGACCAGCGGCCTTGAAGAAGACTGTGTTTGGGATCCGAATCGAATCACTATTATTGATGTAATTCCACCAAGCCTTCAAAGCAGGGAAAATCCAGTTGAAGGTAAAGACTACACAATGTTTTATGGTACATCTAAAGAAGAAGCAGAAAAAATTAAAGCTTATGGCTTTTGTGAGTCTAGTGGCATTCTTGGGGGTGGAGTCTACCTCAGCCGAGATGTACAAAAGGCCTTTAATGTCCCTGAGCATGTTCCTGAACAGCAGAGAAGTGTTCTGAGAGTGAAGGTTAATGTTGGGAAAGTGATCAAGATTGATTATCAAGGTCACCTAATGCAAACAATCTGGCATGATCAAGGTTATGACACTGCCTGGATCACCCCAAACTGCGGCATGGTGTCAAGTGGTCTTGAGAAAGACTGTGTTTGGGATCCAAAACGAATCACTGTCATTGATGTAATTCGTCCAAATTAAGGAGTATGTGCTGTTTGTTATGAGCAATGAAAACCCTAATATATGTTTTATAAGGAAATATAATGTTTTATTGAGAATGATCATTATACTGTGCTGACTATGTCTTACAAGCATTTCTGAGGCTGAAGTTAAAATCATTAAAAAATAGGCCTATACTGTACACATTTTTAGTTGCCTTGCAATTTTGAGTCATATACATACCTTTTTTACTTGTTCACTCTTTGTTCATTAATGGCAAAAACAAACATGTACAAGTTGAGTAGTGATTTCTTTTTTATTTGATTTAAATAGTCTTTTAGGCACTTCAAATTTTTAGATTGTAAAAATAAACATTTAAAATCTATAACAACATAAGACTACTTATAAATAATGTTACATTCATTTACAATTCTTTTAATACCATTTGCTGTGGCTTTAATTATTCTTATCTTTTTGTTTGTATTGTATAATTGTCACTTGTGATCCCTCATGAAAGATCACCCTCCTCTGTGTGCATGAAGACATACATAGACTTTAAAACTGTGATTGGTATTTGGCAACATGTGTTGATTTGATCTTTTTGAGCATCTCATCTGTGTTTATTGTTCTTTACCGTGACCGTTTTAGACTCCAACAGTCACAGCTAGTTTCCGGTTTCCACTAGTTTAGGTGGAGCATTTATAGGAAAACAGACCTGTAAAGTAAAAATGAAACTAAAACTTGTTGTACAGTACACTTGAATTAGATCTCTTTTTTTTTCAAATGTAATAAACTGGGAGAGAAAGTTTCTTTTCAATTTGATTTTTTTTATAATTTGAATTTGAATGAAACATAGTATAAAATAAATAATTATTCTATTTATTCTAATATAATATTTCCTATTGTGCAGAGATACCAAAAAATGATCATATAAATCAGCGCAGTTTCTGCTTGATTTGATTTCAGTTTGATAAAAATCATTAAACCTCTAAAAGGGACACAAATCACACCCTGTTTACTTCAGACTTATCAACATATTGGGATTGGATAATCATAGTATGGGTCTCTTTGCTTTTGAAGAATACAAAGAAACAACACACTTTTGTGTTGTTTCTTTGATTAATATGATTAATTTCATAAGACCAAATGATTAAATGGAAGTACCAAATCTTATAGAGTTTACAGCAATAAAGTCCATATATAAATGTAATCATACATATTAGAGCTTACTGAGATAAGGAGAAAGTGAAAGCTTATTCTTTCCCTCAAGTATTTTTTCCGTTGTGGACACACCCAGAATAAGCCTGCGGTTCATAAATCTGATTTCAGAGGGTCTGCATTCGGTGTTAGAAGCAACGATCAGCGGTAAGTCACTTTTTGTCAAAATATATATGGTGCTTGATTATAAATCCTCTATTCAATCAAATATATATTTGAATATATACTTTTCTATATATTTATTTAGACATGTCCCACATTTGATCATTTTATCTCCCATTTTTGTTTTCACTAATATCTTACGTAGGCTATACTAAGATTATTTGTGGTTCAGGTGCAAACATGTGGGCAGAAGATGACTTGGGCCCAGGTGCTCCACCATGCCTCCAGAGTTATACAGCTCCAGAAGAAGGCAAAGTCTATATAATGTATCATGGCACATCCGTACAGGCTGCGCTAAATATTTTCAAAGAGGGTTTTCAGCAGTCTGTTGATGGCATGCTTGGACCTGGTGTCTACCTCAGCCGAGATCTAAAGAAGGCCTCCAGATACCCTTTACATCTACCTGAGTATCTGAGAGGGATTGTGAGAGTAAAAGTCAATGTTGGGAGAGTAAAGAAGATTGACTATCAAGGTCATCCAATGCAGAAAACCTGGCATGATCACGGGTACGACACTGCCTGGTGTCCTCCATACTGTGGCATGGTGCCAAGTGATCTTGAAGAAGACTGTGTTTGGGATCCAAGACGAATCACTGACATTGATTTAATTAGTCCAATGCAAGAGGAGCAAAGTTCTTGTAGAATAAACCAATATATTTCTTTGATATATAAACTTTTCTTTCAGTTTTGTAGACTGTTTTGTCCAAGTATACAAGAAGCTGTTGAATTCAAAGTGTGCTGTGAAATGATGGTTGCTTTGTGTAATGTTCTGATGCTAAAGATGGACATGTTAATGAATATTGATATTAATATGATTATGTTACATTATATACATTTTTCAGTCATCTTTCAGTTTTTTACAGATTAAAAAAAAAGCATTATTGTACTACAGCTATTTTGTTATTGTCCTAGACTGTGCTTCAGTCATTTTTAACAATATTGTTTCCACTACAAATATCTAAACATTGTTAAATCAAGATATATTTACTTGAGAAGCACAATGACCTAAGATATTAAGTATAGTTTTCTGAGAATTTGATTAAAATTAAGGAGTTTCTGCTTAAAACAAGAAAAAAAAAATAGATCTGCCAGTGCGGTAAAAAATGTTTTTACTCAATTCAAAGGGAAATAAGATTATTTTTCTTACCCCATTGGTAGATATTTTTATTGCTTCAAGCATAAGATAACTTAATTTTAGCAAAATTTCCGAAAACAAGACTTAATATCTTAACTAATTTTCCTTCTCAATAAATGCATCTTGATTTTAGAACGTTTAGATAACTGGACAAGTCAAAAATGCTGAGTAAGAAATCATGTTTTGCAGTGTGCGACATTTCTGAGACCTAGTGTTTTTTTGAAACACTACAATAATTTTGACTTGAATAAAATCGCTCAATTTATATGTTTGCTATAACATGAAAAACAATTTTAGATTACCATTTTTGTACCAGCATTTGTCCCCACATATCATTCAGTGTATGGATATACAGCCAAAACAACTGTTCATTTTTAACTATTAAAACTTCTAGTTTTCTAAGACTATGTTTAAATGTTTTTATGGCTAAAAGTCTGGTGATTTCCATTGCAATCAAAATCAGGCTGGACTAGGAATTTCCTCAGGATCAACATCACATAAACATTCTTTCATTTAAATTCAGTCTGGATTTGTCCTTGGAAAGGTAAAAGCAGCATACAAGCATACTTTATAAATGCTAATCTCTGATTATTAGGAATATTTTCATAAACCTTTCAAAATAATGAACCAGAAAAGATATTACATTATAGATAATATTATGTCAGCTACAGTTACATTTCTGTTTAATTGTATTTATTTCAAGTTTGATGCTTACTGTTTTTGTGGTCCATTTACATGAAATCTACAAATAAATTTATAAAAGAGGGGGTTTCATCTGTCTTCTTGTGGCATGCTCAGACATGCTTACCTCAGGTCTCCAAATATCCAAATTATACTAACAAAACTAACATAAAATAACAATAATAATCATTTCTGTGCCTAAACATATTTCATTGTAGATCACTGTACATCACTGTAATATTTATACTAAATATATTCAGGTTCAATACATTTTATGGTAATCTGTGTCACACTGCTGTATTCTCTGACCCCATATGCACTTCATTCTTAAAGCTGCCTCTAGTTAGTTTTACTCAGTGTTGACTCCTTGTGTTGTTCATGATCATTGAACATAACATTTATTACATACACATAACATTTATAACATTTTGTGTTATCAAGTGAGTTGAAGGCCATAGAGCTTCCTGATATGAACTGGGGGGAAAAAACTGTATATAACTCCACCCATATACCACCATAACACCATTTATCTTTATACCTCATGTATATTCTATTAACATGAAAATATTTATATTCTGGGCACAAAAATGCAAAGCAGTAAGATAAAAAAAAAAGTTCTACAAAGTTAATAATGATTTTTATATTTCATTATACAATAAACATTTCTTTTATAAGGGCATAATTTTACCCCTGGTATTTCTTCCCAAAAAAATGTGTATATATATATATAACCTTCTGTTTATACTCACTGTATAATACACCTACTGTTTATACATTCCTTGCACCCTATGTTGTATGTACAGTCATTTGCATTGAGCTGGTCTCTGCCCTCCTACCTCATAACTTGCACTATATGTCATAAAGCTTAATGTATATACACATAATCTATATTTATTTATATACTCTGTTATTTGCACTTCTGGTTAAATGCTAACTGCATTTCATTGGCTCTGTACTTGTACTCTGCACAGTGACAATAAAGTTGAATCTAATCTAATTGCTTGTTATCCTGAGCTGTCAGCTTTTCTGTCGTAGCTGCATAAGTAGTTTTTTATTAGGTTGGGCAAACAGTCCTCAACAGCAAAAATGAAACTTAAATTACACTAGAACTTTGTTCATAAAGAAACCGTAAAAACTCAATGGAACACCTTTTATCATGGACACACCCTGAAAGATGTGCTATATATACCTGCTTTCAGCAGGAAGCAATCAGCTTTAGAAGCAACATCAGAGGTAACACACCACTTCGTCTTTGTGGAAATGCTGTGCTTTTGTTGGTCATAGTGTTTGTAAAGCCTATTAATATATCATAATATAAATTACTTTTAATGCTATTTTGTTTCTCATTATGTCTTTCTTTGTAAGTGAGTTTTCTAGTGATAAAACTTCTGAGTTTCTATAAATTTTTTTATTTAAATGGTCCAGGTGCAAACATGTGGGCTGAAGACGACTTGGGTGGAGGTGCTCCAGCATGCCTTGAGAGTTACAAAGTACCAGTAGAAGGTAAAGTCTACAGAATGTATCATGGCACATCAAGAGAGAATGCTGAAAAAATCAAAGTCTCTGGCTTCAAGCAGTCTTCTGGTGGCATGCTTGGACCTGGTGTCTACCTCAGCCGAGATCTAAAGAAGGCCTCCAGATACCCTCTGGATCTACCTGAGAACGAGAGAGTGGTTCTGAGAGTGAAGGTCAATGTTGGGAGAGTGAAGAAGATTGACCGTCAAGGTCATCCACTGCAGAAAACCTGGCACGATCAAGGGTACGACACTGCCTGGTGTCCTCCAAACTGTGGCATGGTGTCAAGTGGTCTTGAAGAAGACTGTGTTTGGCATCCAAGACGAATCACTGTCATTGATTTAATTAGTCCAATGCAAGAGGAGCAAAGTTCTTGTAGAATCCTATGAAAATGTTGAGTAGATTAAACCAATATAATTTCTTTGCTATATAAACTTTTCTTTCAGTTTTGTAGGCTGTTTTGTCCAAGTACACAAGAAGCTGTTGAACACAAAGTGTGCTGTGAAATGATGGTTGTTTTGTGTAATGTTCTGATGCTAAAGATGGACATGTTAATGAATATTGATGTGAATATGATTATGTTACATTATATACATTTTTCAGTCATCGTTCAGTTACATTACAGATAAAAAAATGCATTATTGTACTACAGCAATTTTGTTATTGTCCTAGACTGTGCTTCAGTCATTTTTAACAATATTGTTTCCACTACAAATATCTAAACATTGTTAAATCAAGATATATTTAATTCAATTCAATTCAATTCAAGTTTATTTGTACAGCGCTTTTCACGATACAAATCATTGTAAAGCAACTTTACAGCAAATTAAGTTTCTACAATATTTAGTGGTAGCTTATCAGTGAAAGAGCAGTTTCTGTTATTTACACCATGACAATAACCATTCATTTAAAGCAAAAAGTCTACTGAACCTTTCGTGTCCTCGTCGATATGTGGGAAGCGGTCCTGACACGATGATCATGGTCGCGGGCGATGTGCGGCGCACCATCTCGATCAGGCTCCCGAAGTCCCTCTTCAGTGTCTCCGTCTTATATTTACTTGAGAAGCACAATGACCTAAGATATTAAGTATAGTTTTCTGAGAATTTGATCAAAATTAAGGGAGTTTCTGCTTAAGACAAGAAAAAAATAGATCTGCCAGTGGGGTAAAAAAATAAAAAATTTACTTAATTCAAAGAGAAATAAGATTATTTTTCTTACCCCATTGGTAGATATTTTTATTGCTTCAAGCATAAGATAACTTAATTTTGAGCAAAATTTCCGAAAACAAGACTTAATATCTTAACTAATTTTCCTTCTCAATAAATGCATCTTGATTTTAGAACGTTTAGATAACTGGACAAGTCAAAAATGCTGAGTAAGAAATCATGTTTTGCAGTGTGCGACATTTCTGAGACCTAGTGTTTTTTTGAAACACTACAATAATTTTGACTTGAATAAAATCGCTCAATTTATATGTTTGCTATAACATGAAAAACAATTTTAGATTACCATTTTTGTACCAGCATTTGTCCCCACATATCATTCAGTGTATGGATATACAGCCAAAACAACTGTTCATTTTTAACTATTAAAACTTCTAGTTTTCTAAGACTATGTTTAAATGTTTTTATGGCTAAAAGTCTGGTGATTTCCATTGCAATCAAAATCAGGCTGGACTAGGAATTTCCTCAGGATCAACATCACATAAACATTCTTTCATTTAAATTCAGTCTGCATTTGTCCTTGGAAAGGTAAAAGCAGCATACAAGCATTCTTTATAAATGCTAATCTCTGATTATTAGGAATATTTTCATAGACCTTTCAAAATAATGAACCAGAAAAGATATTACATTATAGATAATATTATGTCAACTACAGTTACATTTCTGTTTAATTGTATTTATTTCAAGTTTGATGCTTACTGTTTTTGTGGTCCATTTACATGAAATCTGCTTGTGGCATACTCAGACATGCTTACCTCAGGCCTCCAAATATCCAAATGATACTAACTAAACTAACATAAAATAACAATAATAATCATTTCTGTGCCTAAACATATTTCATTGTAGATCACTGTACATCACTGTAATATTTATACTAAATATATTCAGGTTCAATACATTTTATGGTAATCTGTGTCACACTGCTGTATTCTCTGACCCCATATGCACTTCATTCTTAAAGCTGCCTCTTGTTAGTTTTACTCAGTGTTGACTCCTTGTGTTGTTCATGATCATTGAACATAACATTTATTACATACAGGGGCGTAGATTACGCGGGGGACGCGGGGGACGCGTGGGACGTGTCCTCCCCACTTTTAATATCATGTAAATTCGTCCCCCGCACTTTTTCGGGCAAGGGTTTTCAAGAGCCGGTGTGAATAAATATAGATTTACATTCAAAGAGACAGGATAGTCTGTGCATGATCTGATGTTTTATTCGGACCCAGAATAAGGCGAGATGAACATCACGGAGCGCTAAACACTCATGCAGTGTATGTTTCATTCATACTCGCAGCCGGAGGGCGCTCTCGCGCAGAAAGTCGTATGAGGAAATTCCTAATATTATGGATAAAAGCGTCCAGCTATCCTGTATGAAATCAGTTGTTTGTAGTATATAAACAAATCATTATTATTGGTTATTGTGCAGTGACGAGGACGGGCAGGTGTTCCTCGCTTGTTTCCAGGGCGACGCTGATGAAGCTTCGGAATGCTCGTCACACTCCCCCCCCTAAGCGTCGTCCTGGGCCTGTTGATGATATGAGACAGTAGGGGAGAAATAGGGGGTGGGTGGGGAGTGACCCCTGACAGACCTGCGAAAGCTGCCCAGATCCGAGAGGGTGAAGAATCACACGACAAGGATGGCTCAATAAATGCCCCGGAGGGTGGATTTATTTACAAGAGGGTGTGTCAAAGAGAAAGGTCCAGGTGGGTGCTCCGGTGCCGTGAGTGCTCTCATCCTTCTTCCCAGTGCAGTGGGTCCGTGCTGTGCTCCTGTGGGGCTGGTCGGTCTCACGCTGCTGTCTGTGGGAGAAATGAGAGGGCAAGTTAATGCTCAGTCTCATGGAGAAGTGTCTCAAAGGTGGCAGGGCTTGCGTGGCTTATGTAGCCGCCGCCTGATGAGGCCCCGATATGCCCTGCCAAGGGATGTGAGTGGGCCAGCTCCAATACGGTCTCCGTCTTCATGCGTGGCACCACCAACAATAATTTTTCCTCCCCCCTTCGCTGAGCGACACAATAGAGCAGGCCGTTTCGGACGACGAAATGCGGGAGAGGATAGGGGCCAGGCTGAACTTCCTTGCCTTCGATGACCTTGAGCCTGTCATCCTCGCGTTGTTCCTTTCCAAATGAGCCCCCTCCCGTCACCTGTTGGAACACATCATAGAAGAGGTTAGGATTTTGGGAGGGGGACTCACCTTCTCTCCCGCTGTCCGAGGCCAGAAGAACGGGGCGCTGACGAGGTCC